TTAGGAAAAACCACCTTCAGAACACGGCCAAGAAGCCCGAAAAACCCACAACAACCATTAGATCCCGGCCGTGAAAGCCTTTGCGAATACAAAGCAAAGTGAAATAAGCCAAGCAAAAGCAGAGAGGTATCTTCAGTTCATGAGCAATTAATAGTGTTCAAAGTGAAAATGACAAGTAGTACCATGTGGAAGATAAGGATGAAGAATATTTTTTTCTTGGAAAAACATTCATGTTTAGTCCATTCCCTTCCACCATCTGGTAGTAGCTGATTTTGTGTGTCTAAATGGAGCACCTATAATTATAATTAAAGATGTTTATATGCATGATTATGTGAGAGGTTACTTTGTGTTGTGTCTAGACTGCTGCACTTCACACCAACCAAAACCAATGAAGATGACTAAGTTAAGTTCCATTGACTTTTACTAGTCTATGCTAAGTACAGCTAAGTCTGGATAAAGCACATTGTGCCTTAAGCCGGTTAAGAAAAAATGGTGTAAGGCAACTGCATAGCGTGTTGTTGTTTTTCCTTTGTGGCAGCTCCCCCACCCCACGATAAGTCAAGTGCCCAGTTCTGCAACCAGTCTGAGACTGAGCACATGAAGGGGAGCCTGCTTACACAACTGCCCTCAATCACATAAGTGAACAGGATTATGGCTCCAAGAGCTGTCTTTGAAGTATTAGTTTCTTTTGCTTTGTGAAGACAAAGCAACATATTTTAAGGAAATAAAAATATGATTTGGGAAACGGCACCAATTTGTTTTCAGGTAATGAGCTGAGTTTACATTTTAAATTTTTATAAAACCATATTCGTAAAGGTGTGTTTGCAATTTAATGCCGGTCACTTCCAGAATACAAACAGCAAGTGGGACAGGAAGCTTTAGTCTCTCTTCCTACCTCCACTAACTTGGGAGAAAGCCATAGTGAGCCAACCCAGTAGAACTCTATGGGTAGGCATATTTAGGATTACTCTGTTTCTCTCACTTTTTGAGGAAAAGCATCTCCACTCAAAGTAAAATACTACACAAGTATCTGAACATTGGCCAAGCTTTTATGACATCAACCCATCATCCTGAGGAACATGTGAATATTTCAGAAACATTCTGGGGCATAGAGAAATACGTGAGATGTGCCATTCAGTTACCCTCCCATACAGATAGGAATGAGATGGGTTTTTTTAAAATTTCATTTTATTAGAAACGCTACACAAAAGGTACAAAATACATGATACAATTGTTCTCAATATGAATTTCCAAACACCTTCCACTTACAGTCTGATTGTGTGCATATACTCTTGATTCCCTATCTAGCAGGCCTCCACACTTACAACCTGACAGCCATTTAAAAGCAAACCATTGTAAGTAGAACCCTTTTCTCCTTAGGCTCTATGTTACAACTGAGGTTTGGTTCCTGGAGAATGTTCGTATCTTCTCTCTATAGCTTGCTTGCTCCCTCTAACCTACACTGTCTCCTCACTTTTCCACCCCATCTCCTTTGTCTAACTTGCTTGCTAAGTGGTCCACACCCATCTCTACTCTTTTGGTGTTCCATTTGGTGAGGCAAGTGCACCTGTTGATGGCGCTTTTATGACCACCACAATGGTCATAAAAGTGAGTTTTGGATGCTTGGAGAGAGGTGTTAGCAAATACTGGAATGGCGGTAAAATGGGAAGGTGGGGTTTGTAAAGTGAGCCACTTTAAGTCAAGGGCCCCCTGTAGTCACAGTATATTTTGAAATGTTTCACTTCCAACACGAAACAACATTAAATATTCGAAGGCACACTAAAACACTACAATAAAAATAATAGTTTGTACAAGGGTTAAAAAAGTGGGGAGGAGCATCTTAACATGGTAGGGTGAGTCCCACCAGCTATTTTACTGCATAGGTGTTATTAGATCAGTATTCTTAATACTATGCCTCATTGTACCTGTTCATGTGCATATGCAGATGCTTTCATAATGCATATTAACACTATCATTGCCCTTTCTTCCCAAGCACAACTGTTGTGATGCCTTGTGCCTTGACACTGGCATTTAAAACTGTACGGTAGAGGTTTTGAGTTAACTGGCACAGGACACCCTATTATGCCACACACTCATGCCAATTTAAACCTACACCCTACCCTGTCTTTGGGTCTCTCTTAAGCTTCTGTTTGCTCACTGTGGGAAACTAGGTGCTAGCCTAGTCCAGATAAGGCTTTGGTGTAATCCAGCTGGTTCCTCTTAAGATTGAGCAAGACATTACACAGCTTTCTTGAATATACATTCAGAATTGCTTGCAATTCATAGGTTTCCCTTAAAATTTATATACACATACTTCAATACCTTATGCCAGAGAACATAATGGAAATGACTCAGAATATGCAGAGCTTGCCAAATGTGAAAGGATGAACCTAATCAAAGTCCACTCTATGGCTCGAGCTGTAAAACTCAAAACTCCGTGAGATTATAGTTTTATATTCCTGTGCGGCAGATGCAGTGGAACTGTTCTCATAGGAAGAAGAGATGTGCAGCAGCGAAGACTGGAATACATGACACCTCTTCCTCCTACTGGTGCTATTGCAGGTGACCACAGAGAGTGAAACATCCATCATGGTCACATCAAGATCTATTACTGCTCTCAACAGCTAAGATGACATGAAAAGAGAGTTACAAAAATCGATGGATTTTCATCAGTGGCTATATAGTCAAGACAACAATCTTCTACTTATCAGATGTCAGGGGAAAGGATCAGTATCTCTACCACAGGTCACATATTTCTTGAGGGGAAAGCAACCCAGAGTGGTCTAGTGGCAAGAGAGTGCTGGGCTCGATAGTCTAAACCAAACAGCTGTTCTTAGGTTCTTTGTATTGGGTTTGACAGTGCATTCATTTGAACCTATGAGGATCTTGAAAGAGCTAGGGTCTGAGGGTGGCATCACGCTCACGGGCTTGTTTCCTTATCTGTGACTAGACAAAAGAAAAAAGGAAAGAATTTTGAGTTACATAAATGAAAGGTAAATTGATAAAGAAGAAATGTACTACATACATTAAAGCCTCCATTATGGTGTGACTGTTTTCATTTTTGTCTTAACGGTTCAGCTTAAGAAGCATTCCCTGCCAACCCTCTCATTAGCCTTTGGTTCCCACATTCCTTCACCACTGGCTTGGTTGGCTGGTAAGAGACAGCCACTACAAGCTGACATCTAGAGAGCCACACATTCCCTGTACCAATTAACTAGTGGTACCAGTATGAGCAATGTGTTTCCTATGTGCAGTATTAGGCACACATTTCATATTGAAGGTGCTCTTTTTTCATAACAGGTTGGTTAAGAAACGCCAACTGTAAATCTGAAGTGGTTGCCATATTAGTCTGTGCAAGTGTGCCAACAAGAAACACAAAACAAAAAGAAAAAAGTAAAGATGACAAAGACATTGTGGCAGCTTAAAAATGTCTATATTTTAATGTGCGCTTTTCCGAGAGTAAGGACCAGCAATATGGCAGCAGACAGTAAAAAAAATGGGTACAATCAACCAGATCACAGTGTTTAGTGATATAATCAATGCATTGGAACAGATTCCAAGGGTCAATTCCAACTCCATACTGATGCAGGAATCTTACAGCTCTTCCATGATAGTTCATTCCACTATCCAATTATTTAGTGATTAGAACAAAGAGAGGTTTTTTTCCTAGTATGACTGGTCAAACACACCTTGTTCTTCTGTGGCATGATCTGTCCCCTGAACCTATTTTCTATTTGGAGTTTTTTTCCCCATACTCTCCTACAGACATCCCAATCCTTGATATCCTTCAGATCTTCAGGACTCCAATGGACTACAGTTCCTATCATCCTTTACGACTGGTCATGATGTCTGGATTGAGGATATTTTTGGATTTCACATAAGCATCAGGTTGGCCACTGTAACAATGCTGAGCTAGATGGACTCTTACTCTGATTCCGAGGGACTCTTTCCAAAAACTCTGGTGAGCACCCAGAGGCATACATCTGTTTTTGCTAGAGTTAATCCACATACCCTTTTATGATTTAGGTTTACTCTTGAAAAACAGCCACACTGTGTTGCCACAGCAGAGCTGTGGTGCTCTGCGCTTCATCCAAGTCGTCCTCACCACCTTCATCCTTTTAGCCTCAAAGTGTTGTAGGACTATCTCATAAATCTCAACATAGTACAGTAGGACTCCATATCATAGTACAGGAGGACTCTGGGGTATTGGTTTTAACACACCCACCTCAAGGATGCCAAAAACTGCAGATACTGTAATAGGTGAACCTATACAGTATCTGCAAACTATCTGGCATCTCCTAGTGGCCAGTTCTGCAAATTACATCATGGAAATAAATATTTTTTTCTTTTAATATTTTTAATGTTTCAGAATCCGGATAAATGAAACTGCAGATATCAATCCTATGGATATGGGTGTCCTTCTGTATTAAGAAACTATGGCCACGTGGCCTCTTGTCTGTGGCCCGCGTGCCTCTGCGCCTGCGCTTGGGTCCCAACCACCCCCCCACCTTTTGTTTTTAGTGGTAGCCTTGCCTTTCCCTCCTTCGCCTTCTTTTACGGCAATTTGAACCGCCGCGCTTCCGCCATCTTCCTTCAGCCCTCAGCCCGCCCAACGGCTTCGCGGAGGGGAAAAAAAGGGAGAAGAGGAAGGAAGGAAGCCAACGAACGAACGGACGAGCCCGAAAGGCGACGAGAGGCACGACCCTCTTTAATCACCTCGCCGCCTTAAGAGGGTCGGGGAGGGAAGAAGAAAAAAAGGGGGAAATAAAGGAAAGCACCACAGCGCGCGCGCGTGTGTGTGAGGAAAAGCGGAAAGGTAACGGAGGAGGGAGAGGGCAGCAGCCCTCCAGGGCTTCAAATAAGAATTTTCCCTGTACTAGTTAGAGATATCAAATATTGAAGGACTGAAGTTGGTATGTATTCTACCATTAAGCTACCAACCATCTATACTTGTTTTTCAAAGATTCATTGTTCCTTTTTAAAACGGGAGGTTTCTGCCTTACTTCTTTATCGGCATAAAATGCAGTCTGTCATCATAAAGAAAGTAAGGGGACTACACACAAAAAATTAAGAAAGAGTAATGTAACGCTGTGAAATAGACACTCTTACCAGCTTCCACTGCAATATCTTTATCCATTCATCAGCTTCTACTCCAGTCTTTGCATAGAGATAATATGTCCTCAGTGGGAAAACTAAACTGTTAAAAAAGATTATAAAAAATAGTGTCACCGATACAAACAAGAATAGTTGCTGACGACATCTATGTGCAACTTAACCACACATAAAGTAAAGCTAAATGAGCAGCTATTTGGAGAAAAGAAAATCTATCTCGTTTTCTTTCCAGATAGGAATTTCTAAGTAGCTAACATGCTTTTTTTCTTTAAAAATTATCAAAACAATGCAGTATAACACAGAAATGTGCCTATGATTTTAAAAAAAGAAGCAAGCTTAATGAATCTTTCACTAATACACAATCATCAGAAAAGGTCAGATAGGGGTCCTGAAAATGAGAACTAGAGATATTAAAAGTGTATCCGTTTTTATCTGTAATGTATTAGAGGGTATTCAATAATTTTAAAGTAGGTAGACCAAGTAGGTAGTCTGAAGCAGTAGATGAGATACATCTGAAGGAGCTGGACTACAGGCTACAAAAGCATATACCAAGTAAAACTTGTTATTAAAGATACATAAGAGATCTTAAAGGGACCTGATAAAAAGCCATTTCAGGCCATCTCCTCTGAATTATTGTTGATTATTTTGGTTATTTTAAAGTTTTTTAAATTATGAGTTCAATGGTTTTATAATTTAACTTGTTTTTAGTTTAGTTTCTGTTTTAAGTCTGTTTTTTAACCTGTTTTTACTTGTGTAGATCTGTTAGCTATGTAGGGTATTATTTTTTAGTGGAAAGAAAAGGAAGAAATGGAATAAATGAACAACTGAACAAACAGCCAAGGTCTACTTATGAAAAGCATAACAAGCATGTCACTCAAACTTTGTACATTGATCAGCTTTTTCCAACCGGATGTCCTATAGGTGTGTTGGAGTACAACTCACATCACTCTTGGCCAGCATGCGTAACACATGTGCAGGGCACCAGATTGCGGAATACTTACACAGAAAAAAAGGTTAGAACTAAGATGGATGTGGCTATGAGGTAACACAGTGGTCCCCAACTTCGGACCTCCAGATGTTCTTGGACTTCAACTCTCAGAAATCCTGGCCATCAGAGGTAGTGGTGAAGGCTTCTAGGAGTTGTAGTCCAAGAACATCTGGAGGCCCAAGGTTGGGGACCACTGAGGTAACAGCTGTCTTATGTAGAGTGGTTGGGAAAAGGGGGAAGGTTTATCTCTGTGGACTTCAGGAGAGAGAGTGGATTATGGGGCTAGGACGGTGCCATGAAAAAGCTAGCCATCAAACAGAATGCCTTTTGAGGAGGAAAAAAGTAACCAGTTTGTTGTTTTAATACATGATAGTTCAGAAGTATTCACATTTCTTCCAAACAGACATCTGAAGTTATATTTGAGTCTCAACTTACCAAAAACAGTTTACTTTATCCTGTGAATAGTCAAACTGGACTGCTGAGCATTCTGTCAAGTCAAGTGCTCTGATTGGCTCTGTGGACTTGAAAACAAATATATTTTTGAAACAGCAATTCTTTTTTTTTTAATGAGCAGAACTGCCCACACACCCACCCGCATGAAATAATAAATCAGAGGAATAATCACTGGATTCAATGTGTCAGCAAGTTTGTTATTTGGTGATCTGTACTTTCACCTTCGTACATCTCAGAGTTTTGTTTGCCAACTCACCGTCTGGTCTTTATAATATTTCAGCTCATTCCTATGCAGTGTAAACCACCTAGTTTTCCAGTTCTGAAAGAACAAATAAAAGGAGATTTGAGGACGATAAAGGACTTAGAAATCAAAAGAGCATCACAGGCATCGATGGAATTCTTTGCTCAATTTTGGATGATGTGCATGACTTCATTTTACTGTGTGTGTGTTTACTCCCAAAATTGGGGGTGGGGCAGATTTTTCATTAGCAGCAATCTACTGATGATGATGAATGACATTATTCTCATTGCACAAGCAGAGCTGTACAACAAGATATTGGCCTCTAATAAAATAATGAATTATTTGTTCCTTTTCTAGGACATCTCGAATCAGTAGCCCGTGAGAGCTATTTCACCCGGCCATGTGAGAGGGTCTTCACCAAAATCTTTTGCACATGAACTGCAGTACAGTATTTTAGATTATATCTTCCCCTCTCTCTGCTTACACATAATATGTATAAATATCTAGGGCTGCTTTTAAGCATGTGTTTTTATATTCTGCCTTTATTTATTTATTTATTTATTTATTTATTTATTTATTTGTTTGTTTGTTTGTTTGTTTGTTTGTTTGTTTGTTTGTTTATTTATTTATTTATCATGTCTACTCGGGGCGGCTTACAAAATAAAACAGAACAATATAAAAATATATAAAATCATAAAATTACAATTACAATTTCAATATAAAACAATTAATTTAAAGAGAGGATACCAAGATGGAATAGCAAAGACAAGAAAAAAGGAGAAAAACTTAATTGACTGGAGGGGAGGCCTGCTTGAATAACCAAGTTTTTAACTGGCTTTTAAAAACACCCAGCGAGGGTGCCAGTTGAATTTCTGTTGGGAGGGCGTAAAAGGAAGGTATACAAAAAAAGCCTTGGGTGTTTCTTACCTTAACTATTCGGCCTTGTTTTGTTAAGTAGCCTTCTTTTGTGCCTAACTGTAATGAAAGATGTGACAGTCAACCATGAGTGAGGAAAGAATGGAGCAGGAGTTTGGGGAAGAGAAAAAGGCAAAGTTTCCAGAATTGCTAGTTTTTTTTAATATCAGAACCATCCATTCACATTCTCTTTTATAACTGGGTCTTAGATCTACAGAACAGGAAGGGACCCTATAGATCATTCAGTCCAGCCCCATCAAGGAGGCATAGTGGGGAATTGAACTCCCAACTTGACCACTAACCACAATCCATCAGTAAGCCACAACAAGGGTAGGTTCATTGAATCAGTGGAGATTTGGTGAGTCAATACTTACATACATTCCACGGATTCAATGGGCCTAAATCTTGCTACTGGATTTCAGCCACTGAGTTCTCTGCTAAGCCTATGAGTCCTATGTTCATCTGAGTTAAACACACAAGGTAATGTTATTCACATTTATGAAAAAGAACATCCCTTTCTGTCACAGGTTAAATATATTATACTCTGTGATGTAACTGCTGTCCAAAGATATGATAAGTCCATTTTTAAACAGGCCACAAATGAATGGAACACTGTCTGGTTTTACACAATGTGTCCACTGTGCATTGTACATGTCCAGTAATGTGGTAATAACTGCTGAAACAGCCATGCTGGCCAACAACTTTACATATGTGAAATGACCACAGACCACTAAAGACACAGGCATGCACAAAGTTTTTTTTTTCAAAGTCTCTTTGGGAATAACAACAGTTATACTGTAAAGAAAACAGCTCCTACAAAGGGAACAATGTTTTCTGATTCTTCTATTAGGATTGGATTCAAAATCTGCTCCCCGGGCTTGCTCTGTGTATCGAAAGCATTTGATCCAACTGGTAGAAAACCAGTATTTGGTTGTCCTTTCCCACTGCAATTCCCTGTACACTCGACATCTGTTTGAGATAATCTGGTGTTATCAAAATGCAATTTCTGAGAAGAGGCTTCTGACCACAATTTTGAAATGTCTGTGACACTTTTCCTCTAAGCTTTCACGCCAGCTGTAATTAAATTTCCACAGAAAGATATGAAAAGTAGAAGAGTGGAGATTGATTTTTTTTGGACTACACTGTAGGGGGCTACACCCAGGGGAAGGAGATTCCTGCAGTTGTGCTACAAAATCACAAATCTACACATCTCTAATAAAAACCTCCCTTGGCCCCAACCAGCATTTCTTCCAGCTCACCAACAGAATATTAACTTACCGAGGGTGCACTAGGGACAAGATCAAGTTCTGTTCTCCCTGTCTGCATTGCTGTATGAACCCGAACAGACTCATAAATGGAAGGTTCTTCTACTTTCCTGGGATAGGGGCACTTCAGGACAATCAGGGTACCTAAATGAAAAGAAATGCTGAGTAATTCACAGCCATTCCCCTGCCAAAGTGGAAAGCGCATAAAAAGCAAAGCGTTGATGAGCTGGAAAGATGCAATAGAATTGCTCCACTCGAAAGACCTAAGTGGATCATTTAGCTTAGCCCCTGCCTTTGAGACTAGACATTTATGGATGTATCAGCCAATCCCAAATGGCAAATCAGAAGTCCAACTGCTTGTTTTGCCTTTTCAGTACCTCCCAGAAAAGTAAGGCTCAAAATCCTGGGATTCGCTGTCAGTCTGTTCTTACTCCAGGTAGGCTGTTGTACAAAATGGTGGGGAAATGTCTCATCTCATCATTTCTGGACAAGCTGCCCACTATCTGGGCCATGGGCCACCATTACCTGGCTCAATTCTGAGCTCATCTCTCACTCACCCATAAAGTTCCATTTCAAACTCCAATTCAGTGCTACTAATTCAGGGGTGGGCAATTTATTTCTATAAGGGGGCCACATGAAAATTCTGAACTGTGTTCGGGGGCTGAACCAACTTTACTTAAAAATAAAATGAAACAGTGATGTTACTATTGTTTTTATTTTGAACTTGTTAATCTTCACAAATACTAAAGAGGGTTTTTTTGCAGTATGTTAAAGATAAGCAACTGATCAACTTTAGACAAAAAGCTATAAATGGTTTTGATGTACAAAGCTGTCCACGGGCAGGACAGGAGTGGCTTGTGGGCCTTATGTGGCCCTCAGGCTGCACTTTGCCCAGGTCTGTACTAATTAAAATATATATATCAAGAATTCCTCTTATGCATGTGTCATACCTTACAGCACTACTTAACAGATGCAATGTATTTTTACTTTTTCTCTTGAAACTTTTCAGATTCATTTTTGAGTTTCCTGAGCAGTTTGTTGCATCAACGATGACAGCTCTTAAATTAGCTAGTCAGTTCCCCAATATGAGTTTTCACAGTAATAAGGAAAGCATTTGATCAATTCTCCCCAAATCACTGAATGCTTTTACCCGACCAGCAGGACACATGTAATTCTAAGTTAAATGAATGTCAAAAAGCAGCTATAGTGAATTCCCAAGCCTTCCAGAGCACATTTTTGAGGCACACAAGGGCTGCAGGCGCAAGAGGGACATTGCACCCTCCTAATTCTGCTGGGTTCTACTGGCTTGCCAAAATGCTAGTGGATCTCCTCCCTTTTTTCACAATCGGCAACCTGCGTGTTTGCTTGTCCCTCACACTGGCTCAGACAAATAAATAAATACCTGTACACAGCAATTTCCCCATCGTCAAAGACGCACATGTCTGTGTTTAAGGAGATAACTGAGGAGGCACAGCTACTAGGCTCCTGCACATGTGGGGCTCTACACATTTTCGAGCATGACTGAAAAAGACTGTGGAGTCAACCGTTCTGACCACTTTGTGACAGTCACAGTCGTTTTACTATATTATGATTAGAGGGAGTGAACTGCAGCCTGCTTCTGCTTAATGCTAGTCAGTAAAAGTGTTGGGGGTTTCTATTAAGATAACAGAGTTATTACACTACCTCCATTAATCCAGTTATTAATCCCTCGGGCTTTGTAGTTTTGGGAGCCACCTGCGTTTGAAATCAGCAATAATTTATCTCTGGTGTCAGCCTGGGTTTCCTGTGTACGGCTTCATTTAGAAAACGAACTGGAAGGGCACGAGTTCATCAGTATTGTAAGGTTTTGACACCTATTTTCCAGCTGGTGGTACTGTCCGTTTTAGGGAGATGAAAGGAGTTTCACGGAGCTAGCAGAATCTGATTAGGGAGCTGGGAAGCTACAAGGCGAGTCTATCATTCATCACTGCAGATCAGATTCACTGATCTCACATTGTGCCAACTCCTTAACTGTTAATGGATGTAACAGATGGCAGGAAAGGTGGTAGGGAAGAGGGGCTGGGACTAAACTACTGGAGTGCAAACAATTGAAGTATCAAAAATTAACTACTAGTAAGCTGTTATGTTTCAAACTTTAAATAATGCACATTTATGATGCAAACTATGCAGAAATATTTCCTCTTTGTTTCCCATTAAAAGACACTAGGGTTGCACAAGACCAAGAAGATCTCCATAGAGCTTGACAAAACACAATTCAGCTGGATTCTAGTTTGAGAAGTAGAGGACATTATTTTACTTTATCTTGCACGTTTCATCCATGGAGCTCAAGGGCATCCGGCTGATCTCCTATCCAGATGAAGACCAGAACTGGAACTGAGGAGGCATCAGCAGAAAGGTTGATGCCTCTTGGGCCTCTGGCCGTATCTGTGGTCTACTTGATTTTACTTTTGGAAACAATACTTGCTGGAAGCATTGAGAAGGAGATTTATACTTTTATCATACAATTATTTTTCTCCTCCGTTAAGGAGGGAAGCAACAACAACAAAAATAAACTGCATAAAATTGGGATCTCTGGTGTCACACTCTGCTTATGATTTCCATAGGGTAAGTCTATGAATCTGTTGCAGCAGCAGCAGCGAGTCTTGTGAAACCTACATAAAATTGGGATCTCTGGTGTCACACTGTGCTTATGATTTCCATAGGGTAAGTCCATGAATCTGTTGCAGCAGCAGCAGCAGCGAGTCTTGTGAAACCTTAATGACTAACAAGTTTATCACACCAAAAGCCATTATCAACTAGAGTCCACTTCATCAGATAGTACTCTCAAAAATAGGAGAGGAAAAAGAATGGGATGAAGAGTGGGGAGGAGGCAGGCCATCTGCCTCTGTTGACCTGTAACTTTCCTATTATTGACCATCCCTTACTTAGCAAATGAACCCTCAGTTAAGTTTAACCGAATCCACAAATCCATGAATCAGCCTTTGGATTCAGAAGGGGCAGGGGGTGTGGGCAGCATGAAGAATAGCATGGGCATGTGAAGACTTGATTCAATAAAGAAGGGACCCTTTAACCAAGGCTACATGGGCAATATTGCTGAAATCTGTCCAGAAGTCTGGAGCACTCAGAAGGTCTAGACCAGTGGTTCCCAACTTTGAGTAACCCAGGTGTTCTTCATCATCATCATCTTAGAACTGCAGAGCTGGAAGGAACACATCAGGTCCAGCCCTTGTCAAGGATGCAGAGGGGGGAGCTAAACTCCCAATCTTTGGCTCTGCAGCCAGAGACCTACACCACTGAGTCCTAGACTGCAGCTCTCAGAAGCCTTCGCCACTAGCTGTGCTAGCTGGGGTTTCTGGGAATTGCAGTCCAAGAACACTCGGGTCATCCAAGGCTAGGAACCACTGGTCTAGACCACACTCTCTCAGGACAGCCAGGTTGTCGAGCATTTTTAAATTATACCCTCATTAATCTTATTTGTCACATAATAAGTTAGTTCTTCTTTTTCTTCTTCTGAACCAGACTTGTCTATCAAAGAGATCCGGGGCATCTCTTGTGTGAAATAACAAACCTATTTAGGAGCTGCTTAACAACAGAGCTCAAGTTTCAGGCCAGTAAGTCAGCTGGGGCCACATCAATGCAGATTTAACACTCATGTCAGGAAATAGAAATGACACGTCAAAGAGATTAAACCATTTCTGGCCTGGCCAGCAGTCGTTTAAAAAAACCTGTGTACCAGTCCCCACTGCATTTCTTTCTTCTAAGTTCTTTCCTTTACTAATCTTTGATGGTCTATTCAAATTTAACAGTTCTTAACTGCAGAAAAATAATCATTTATTCAAAATGCATGATGCTAATAAGATCAAATTAAACTAGCTACTGCGATCAAGACTCTGATGTTTTTTCAAGCAACATAGTGCTAAATCTGAAGGTTCTCATGGAAAAGAACTTCTTCTACTCATGTAAGGACTTGGCCGACTAGAGGAAGGGGCCATTTGGATTTATTTATTAATGACACGGAGACCTTCTTTTTCATCTGAATTTAGGGCAACATGTACAGCTCTCTTCCTTTATATTCAAAGCAACCTTGTGAGATAGGTTTGACTAAGATGAAGCAAATGGCTCAAAATCACTTGTGAATTTCATACCAAGCAAAAATGAATTATTTTTTTTAAAAAAAATCAAGAATGACAAAATACATTTTTAAAAATGAAAAAGCTCTCTTGCTCCTTATACAGCCCCCCCTTTAAAAAAAAAATTTTTTTGAAACCTGGCAAAAGCATTTCCACAGAGCAGTTGGATGAGTAGTCAAAAAAAATTGTACTCAACCAGTTAAGTCTCTGGCTCTCCACACATTTTATTTATTGATAAAACATATAACCTTACTAATAGAGTTTATTAGTCTTCAAAAGGGGATATGAGAAGAAAGATCCAAACCAGTTCCCAGAAGCCTGGACAGGGAGAGACTTTTATAAGAACTTTGCTTCTTAGCAAGTGACTACACTAGTATTTGCCACTATTTGTGCTGTGTATCTCATTTGTGTTTTTAAAATATTTTTCGTATATTTTAGCTCTACAGTGCTAAACTGATGCAGCAATAATTCAAGTGCTTCCAACTGTCTTGTCAGTTCAGCAATATTTCACTTGCTAAACTTTTTTTTAGAAGAAGGAGGAACTAGCATGCTGGTGAAAGGGTGGGTAAGAGGGCTGTGATAACGGCACAGAAGATTGAGGCATAAAGAGATTACAGTGGACCCTCGACTTATGGAATTAATCCGTATTGGAACGGTGGCTGCAGGTCTAAAAGTCTGTAGTTCGAGGCTCCATTGACCTACAATGCATTGAAAACCGATTAATCCGTAACTGGCCGTTTTTGTTCCATTTTGTTTTGTTTTTTCCGGTCTGTAAGTCGATTCTCCGGCTGCAAGTCAAATCTAAATTTTACGGCCACAGAAGTCTGTAACTCAAAAAGCCTGTAAGCCGAGCCATCTGTAAGTCGAGGGTCCACTGTATGTGATGTGCGAATACTTGAAATGCACCTTTCCAGGATAATTAAATATTTCTATGTGAACCATGACATGTCAATTTAAATGCCACAGAAACTTTACACCAAGTGTCCAATTGCAGTCACACCCTTAATACAACTTGTCAAGGTTTTCCTGTCAAGAGGTTCACTGTTTTAAAGGGACTTTTACTTGTTTGGCTTTCATCTCCATTCTTCCTTTATTATAGTGAAACCAACTGATTGTCTGGTTCTTGAGTGGAGTGCTTCCCACAGAGCCTAACACCCTCCCTTTTATTTTACTTCCTTTTGTTAGCAGGAGGTCTTTATCTGGAGTTCAAAACGGTGCTTTGCAAAACAAAGGATGTCTTCTAATGCGTAGATAGTACGGTATAGTGGATATAGTATCAGATTAGGACTCAGGAGACTTAGATTCAAATGTCCACTTGACCATGAAAACTTTCTGGTGGCACCGGTGAAAAATAAAAACTCTTCTCAGATATCTTACATAACCTGAATAAACTATTAGGGTTTCCATAAATGAGATATAATTGGACAGCATATAATGACCACAAAACCTGTGGCAACTTATTCTAGATTCCCCACCTGCAACCGGAATGTTAACTGTGCTAGAATATTTACTACTATACAGTGAACAGTACGCTTAGTAATATGCTACTACTGCAATGCTGGAACTACAAAAATGAAACAAAATAAATCATGAGGAACTACAGTGATAGAACCCGAGGCAGCCGATTGGTAAAAAGTCATGGAAAGGACAGGATTAGCAATTATGGGAGTTACATTAGAGCATGTGATAATTTCTATCAAACAAACAAACAAAAAACCCCACACACCCTAATAGAAACTAATAATAACAAGCTAAAAATAATAAAACCAAACACAATTCACCTGTCTCACTGCCAATTAAAGGCTGGTTTGCAAAATGCATGATCAAGTCTTTCAAGCTTGCAAATTCATTGAAGCCAAACTTGTACGAAGAGCCAGTGTACTCTATATGAAAATGTTTCACAGAATCCTTTGCTCTGAAATAAAAATAATGAAACTGTTATAGTGCAGAATGATGTACATTCTACTCACCCTTGTTACATTTTATGAAGATGTCAATAAGCCTGAGGAACCACTGGAGAATTCTAGACATAATCACCCATTTTCTATATGTTTAATTTGCTCCTGTTTTATCATTAAACTCTGTAATATATGGGCCCTTCCTCTGTTCTTTCTTCTATCCATTACCAAAGTTTATTATTTGCTATAAGCTTTACTCTTAGCATATCTATTTTCATTTTATTTTTCTGCACTCACTCTGTTCCCGCATCGTTGAGTCAATTGACTTGGATAGCTTGGCCTACACTTCAGAATTAGAATGCAAAATAAATTGCTGAAAGACTGAGCATAAGTATAGGAATGAGTTAATAGTGCAGCTGCAGTCTTCATGAATGCTACAGTTGTGTTCTGAAAATTATAGGTCATATATTTCCACGAGAACTGCCACAGGATTGCTTCTTTAAAACAGGTAAATGTCCCAAGAAAACTGAGATGACGACAAATTCCCATTTCCTCCTCTATAGTTAAAGAGGGGAAGCAAGCTCTGAGCAGAAAACAGGTTTGGAAGGGGACAAAGAGACAGACAGCAGGGTTACATGAGGAACTATAACCATCACGGTAAAGACCCTGTCCTTTTACCTAGCAACTGTGCATGTGATAGCAATGGGACAGACAACAGGGCACAGGCCTTGATCTCAAAACTCAGGTTCCCATGCAATTATAAGAACAATACTTTTAGCACCATACCTGACTGAGAGAGAAAAAAGAGAGTTTTTGACATTGCTTTTCCTCAGGAGGTAGCTTCCATCTTTGCCATTGGAAAGAAGAAGAGCTTCTGCCGCATGACGAGTAAGACCATCATGGTACCACCTACCAAGACATAAAAGTTCAAGATCTATTAAATGCCACACTGTGAATCTTAAGCTACAGGACAAACAACCCTTTGCCAGCTAAATGTACAAGAAACCACACTACAGAAAATGACTCTGTAACATGTGTGTCAAGCACCAGCCGGTATATGCTCCAGTACTGAATTCAGGGAAAGGCCATTCAGATGATCTAGACAGAAGGTTAGGGTTGGTGGAGCACAACTAAACAGATGAAATAAAAAAAATACAAAACTCATATTCACCAGTAACACTGGCAAGACTGTCAGCACTGCATTGAGGTTTGCTGTTGATTTGCTCATTTTTAAGTAGACAAAAACAGAGAGCTCAAACATCCACTAACCCTAAATCGTGTGTTGGCTGCAACTGTGATTACATTCCAAGTTAGGCAAATTTATGACCAAACATATACAATATACTGTATGACAGATATAAATCATACATACAAATTGTATATCGAATTGAGCCACCAGTTCATAAACAGAATACAGCTCATAAATTCAAAAAAAATGAAAGGTGGTTGAAATAACACTGCTTGACTAAGTGTCGTGAATCACTCCCATCAATGTCTGGTCTGATGGTCAAGAGAGATCCAAAGTTTCACAAAAAAGTCCACAAACAATAGCATTGGAAAAACAACAGCGACTCCCTGCACTGACTTAGCACAGAAGCCAAACCTATATGGGGCCATGGTGATTAGTCATCACTTCCAGCTCCACTCTTTGGCTGATTCCCTTCAAGACTTACAGCTGGGTCTCAGCTAAGACCTCAACTCAACCACCAGACGAAGGTACCATTTGCCCTGGGCTTGAGATCTTATCCACGCTCTCAATGTTTATTTTATGGCAGCATAAAATATATAGTAGCAGTAGAAATGTTAACTTGCTGGGAATCTTAACTTTGAGAAGAAGGAAAAATGAAAGAAAGTTTCTAGTCCTTATTGTGGCTGATTTGCATATGGTTTTGTTGTCTCCTGAAATCACAGAAGCCAGAGAGATGAAGAAATAGGATTTCTAATAATCAGGAATAAGAGATGCTGTATCCTTACTTTACTCCTGCCCCACGACGAGAAAAAAAAATAGATGTAAAGAAATTTCAGAACACCGTATGCGAAATAAGAAAACTGCAAAGTGGCTCAATTTGGATAAAACGGTACATATTAGGCTGATTTCAAACCTTCATGAAGTAGAATGGGGAATGCTTGATGGCAGGGTTGGTTAGTTTGTGACAGATCCAGGCAAACTTGACCATGCCTCTTTTCCATTATGAGCTGAATGGAATGATGTGCAAGGGATGATGTTACATGTGTGTCTCTCCCTGTGAATGCTTGCCTGTCCGCCCATTTGCCTGCCCACTTGCCTGTGTGCATATATGAATAGCTACTTCTGCTCCTGGTTCTGGCTCTCTTTCCTGACTCTGTCTGCCACTGACTGCAGGGTCCTCTGAGGTTACTAGCTGCCAGTGCTTTTCATAACACCCCAAATTATCAGTCTGAAGCAGCTCACTGATTCTGCGTAATGGCAGAATGTACGTGCCCCTTTGTAAACCAATCTATGTACCCCTTTGTAAACCAATGGTTTCAACTGTACAAAATATTTTCAAACCATCTCAATGACTTTCTAAATCAGTACTTCCTGAAGTATTCTCTTCAGGAAGCCTTCTTACTGCACTATACTTCCTCTTTTGGAGAACATACCATATGTATGTGTGTGTGTGTGTGTGTTTAGTCGTTTAGTCGTGTCCGACTCTTCGTGACCCCATGGACCAGAGCACGCCAGGCCTTTCTGTCTTCTACTGCCTCCCGGAGTTGTGTCAGGTTCATGTTGGATGCTTCGCAGACACTGTCCAGCCATCTCATCCTCTGTCGTAAGAAAGTAAAAACCAGGATGAAGCCAACATTAATAGTAATTTAGTCATCTCTTTTCCTGGTGAAAAATGACAGTCTCTTCTCCAAGTAAACATCTTACATGTATTCATTTATTATGTTCACCTGGAGTAAGTTGCGCATTTCTCAGCAACTCTGTAGAAATACTATTGTGCCACAGCTGTTTTCAAGTTTCAAGAGTCTCCTTCCCCATCTATCTAACTCATTCAAAGGGATAATGCAACCTGCAAGCTGTTCAGTTAAAAAAAAAGACCATGCATCAATTTATCAAAAGTATACCTGAAATTCAAAATAAAATGTGACATGTTAAAGAGAGAAAATAGAGCCAGAACTGATCAGTTATCTTGGGTCATCTGGAAAGACATATTACCCAAGGTCAGCATTCTTCCCAGTACAGATCAGCCATTAAAGGCATTCAACAATATAGTGTTTAATTACAGTTGGCATCACTAAACCTGCTAATCATTGCTCCCAACATACAAGCAAAGCCGTGACCCAAAAATAGTGCAAGGATCTTTGTTGCTACTGTAGGAAGAGAAACAGCAACATTCTTTTATCAAGACATTTCTGATACCACATTACTTATTTTGTTGAGGACAACAGAATAATGATGAATACGGTCCCAGATTCATATGAAAATGCAAGGAGAGCTGTACAAAACCATCTCAGAAACCACTGCTCTGAGCAACTGAGGCTTCTCATCAGCCCGTATTTGAGGCAACAGGTGGAACCAGCTGGCAAGGCTCAGCTTTTCTAATCCAACTGGCCCCTGGCCTTTCCAGATGCTGTGGTTTACTTAGCGGAAATACACATCTGTTACTGCATACACCCAGGAGGAACACTAAGCTCTTCTTGGTGGTGAGATAATCACTGTTTCCCAGTACAGTACAGGCAAACCGATAAATCATATTGCGTCCAGATGCTGTGGTTTACTTAGTGGAAATACACATCTGTTGCTGAAGACATCCAGGACGAAACACTAAGCTCTTCTGGGTGGTGAGATAATCACTGTTTTCCAGTACAGGCAAACCGATAAATCATATTGCTAAGAATCTCTGACTCTCTTGTCCCATGAAATTCATTTATCACCTACATTTTCTCACAAGGGTAATGCTTGTGTAAGTGCCACAGAAACATCCTGTCTTGTGCGTCTCATAGCACTATAAGCCCCATCACCTACCTCCTCTCCTCTTTCTCCCCATGTGCACACACTCTTTCAGACCAGTGTTGGAGTACACACACATACAATTTTACAACAACAAAACATCTCACCCAGAAACATCCCAGCAACAAGACCAGTTTGGACACTTTTTCACTGTGTGGAGACAGCAATGTCCCTTGATTTGGTTAGTAGTGATAAGACCTGGATCCAGTTGTAGTCTGAATTGGAGGATAGCCACTGAATCAATCTTATTTATATAAGTACACACATAGGGACGTGGTGGCGCTGCGGGCTAAACCGTAGAAGCCTGTGCTGCAGGGTCAGAAGACCAAGCAGTCGTAAGATCAAATCCACATGACGGAGTGAGCTCCCGTCGCTTGTCCCAGCTCCCGCCAACCTAGCGGTTCGAAAGCATGTAAATGCGAGTAGATAAATAGGTACCACCTCGGTGGGAAGGTAACAGCGTTCCGTGTCTAAGTCGCACTGGCCATGTGACCACGGAAGATTGTCTTCGGACAAAACGCTGGCTCTATGGCTTGGAAACGGGGATGAGCACCGCCCCCTAGAGTAAATTGGAGGATAGCCACTGAATCAATCTGATTTATATAAGTACACACTCATCACTCAGTAGCTGATCCAATGGAACTATTCCAGCTAGAGCTAAGAACTGGATTTAAACTGATAGCACTTGCCCTTTCCAGTGAATCTGCTTACTAAACATACGGAAACCCCACTACTTCTGCGAAAGGTTGAAAGGGACTCTATGCAGCTACAGCTGTACTCAAGTTGGTTCTTTCCAGATAATGGGGAACCCTGCACCAATCCTATTCCACACCTTCTAATTAGGTAACTGATCTCCCAGTCCAAGTTGGGGAACCCAGGAAGTTCTAGATGCACACCGTTTGGCCCAATATATGAGGCTCTGAACAGCCATACGGACCACAGTTTCCCTGCAGGGAAAAAACACAAATGAAAACAGGGTGGGGTAGGAGGGGAAAAACTGACAGAGAAGAGGGGTTTTTGAATCCCCAGCCCAAGCATGGCTAGGGGGCCCTCCTCCATAAGCTACCATCCACCCATGATTGGACAGTCCGAGTGGCTTCTTCTGGAAGCTCCCCATTGCATGAAGGCACTCAGGAAGAAGATACAGTATTCACAATGGTGACAGCTGGAGGTACCCCCCCCAATGCAAACTGGGTCCCCTCAATAAGTCCTGAGTTGACCTTGACTTCCATCCACTTTATACTCACAACCTATCCTGTGAGGTTGATTACACAGTGGGAATGTGACGGGCTCAAGTTCATCCAGTGAGTTTCACAGCTACGTGGAGACTTGAACTAAAGTCTCCCAAATCCTGATCAAACATTCTAACTACTACATACCACTGTCTCTTTCCCCCCTGAACTCAGTCAAAACATGTTCTGGGTGCCTAGGGAGGGCTCTGACTTCCTGCAGGGGAAAAAAACCACAGAATTAAGATACGCAGAGTCCAGCGCTGTGGGAACAATGCGGCTGCCAATGTTGTGCAATGAATCAAACTTTTGGCAGGTCACCAGAAGTGCCTAATTACTTCAGGTTGTGGTAAATTGCTTCATTGTGCAGTGAATAAGCAGCGTTCACAAAACCTTCTCTCTCTTGTCTTGAGCTACCAGGCCAGAACTCACTACAGACCGAATATTCTTCCCAACAACCACCATGTGCTAAAGGGTATCATAATTCCGTCATCTGTCCAGAGAGCAGAATGAAACAAAGTGGATCAGTGTAAAGGCACACTCCAGTAAGACTTGCGCCTTTTCCAAAAACCATTAGTTGCTGTTACAGTTTCAGTTTTTAAAGGGAATTATTTTCTTCCCCATTATTCAAAGGTAACACAAATAAATGTTGTTTTAGCTATTTAAAAAAAGGCTACATGCCCCTGGTCTGTGGTACCAATAAG